TCAAAAAAACAAAAACAAAAACCATCAACTCTGCCATGTGCTTGGAGAGTAAGAAAGGTAGTGTCTGAGCAGGATGATGAGTTTGCTCCGCATCGTACTCTGTGGCCGTGAGCACTGAAGGTGCAGCTGCAGGGAGAGGTGGTAGCTGAGGAGGGTGGGCTTCTGCTGCAGGCAGCAATGGAGTGGACCAGGAGCCACAGGACAGTGAGTGGAGACCTCGGAAAGGGGCCTCTGAGCACCTGGCGTGGTCACAGCCAGCACCTCCCAACCTGGAGCACAGATCAGTTGCCTTCCAGGCCAAGGCCAGGGCCCGCGCCCAGCTCTGTCCTGTTGTGGCTGCATATACTTTTCACTCACTCACTCCGTTTTTGGAAAAAATGTTTGATAGCTGAAAATTAAGAATATCCTCAAATGTCTAACTGGCAGAATGCTCATGTCTGCATGTTGAAATATTAAACACTGGCATTGGATTTCAGCAGTTGGGCTGAAGCACAGATGACAATCAGAGGAGGCCTCAGGCCAAGATGAGGGGTAGGATTTTGTTTCTGACTTTTTTGGACACTATAGATATTCTACAGTGGCATATATTTATAATTAGAAAAATATAAGCCTGGGCAACAAAGTAAGACCCCATCTCTACAGAAAATAAAAAAATTAGCCAGGTGTGGTGGTGCATGTCTGTGGTCCCAGCTACTCAGGAGGCTGAGGCAGGAGGGCAAGGCCGCAGTGAGCGATAACTGTTCCACTGCAGTCCAGCCTGGGCAACATAGCAAGACCCTGTCTCAAAAAAAGGAAAATATGAATAAACAGAAAAGAAATACCATTCAGATGAAACAGCATCTTCAGAATACACAGTTTAAAAAGCCTCATTTACCCAGTTATCCTTGTTGTCTCCTGATCTGAGTGCCTGACATTAGCCCGAAGGAGAGGATGTGTATAGCTCCATATGGTGTAGCATAAACATGCTATTTTTTTCATCAGTTTTCTGCTTGAGGGGTTAAATGCTGTTGAATTTATAAATGAATCTCTCCTAAGGAGGTATCCTGTGTCACCCTAAGTATCACTCTCCTTGTCTCCAGGTCTCATGATGTGAAAAATGGAGGTGAACTTACTCATCCCACCCATAGCCCCGGCCAGTCCTCTCCCCGCCCCGTCATCAGTCAGCGGGTTGTCACCAACAAACAGGCTGCACCAGGGTTTATCGGACCACAGCTTCCCTCTCACATGATAAAGGTAACAGTCCATAGGGAGAATAACATTTTTATGTTAATTTTTAAAATGTAACTTCAGACTCTCAAGTTCAATTGTAGTGATTCTGTGTCCTCAAATACATCTAAATGTCTTCTCACAGTTTAATCAAACCCTCTTATACAGTATTTCAAATATACAGAAAACAGCCAGGTGCAGTGGCTCACGCTTGTAATCCCAGCACTTTGGGAGGCCGAGACAGGTGGATCACTTGAGCTCAGTAGTTTGAGACCAGCCTGGGCAACAGGGTGAAACTCCGTCTCCACAAAAACTACAAAAATCAGCGGGTATGGTGGTGTGTGCTGTGGTCCCAGCTGCTCGGGAGGCTGAGGCAGGAGGATTACTTGAGCCCAGGAGGCAGAGGTTGCAGTGAGCTGAGATTGCACCACTGCATTCCAGCCTGGGCAACAGAGTGAGACCCCGTCTCCAAAAGAACCCTCCGAAAAAACAAAAACCCCAAAATATACAGCAAACCGCACCAGTGGGGAGGAAAGAGTTTCAAGGCTGGGTGTCGGCATCCTTACATTCTAGGTCCCCTCTGGACTTCCATTCTTAATTCCTCTTGGACTCCAGGAAAGTGATCTGTTTACAACAACACGTTTGTTAGGTCCATTTAGTCGTTTCAAGGGTGTGGTGTTTCTGGCTGCTGTCCCCCTGGGTTTGATTTTACTCCCTGTTGGTCCCATCGGGGCGAACAGTAGTGAGCTAGTGTCACAGGGAACACAGAATTCCAGAGTGGGGGCGTCATCTGGGCTGTGGCATCTTCACAGCTTTTCGGCTTGAGTTTGTTTTGGATGATCACATACACTGTCTAGCTGTGTGCTTTATTTAATGGACATCAGGCAGTATTTGAGGTGTAACAGAGTCACACATCAAATGCCCAGCGGGCTCCCCTATTGGGCTCTGCTGCAGAGTGATATCAGGACTCTGGCAAACAGGAGGGCATGTGCCCTGTAGGAAGGGGTGGTTGGCATTGCTTTTCCAGACTGTTTTTGTTTTTACCATGAAGCTTTCCAGTGTTAAGATGGCAGCTAATTCAGGTATTTGAGAAGGCACCGTGAAGGCCACACATGATCTGTTCACTGGCGTTCAGGCCCGTGCCTCCATGGGGATGCGGCAGCCATGGTGGGAACCTGCAGCGAATGTATTACTGCATGAGGAGAATGTGGAGACATTGTGGGGCAGTGGTGGGGGTCATGGCTGAGCGAGCAGCAGCTGAAGCAGCCCCTACTCTCTGCCCATGTGACCGTCTCCTTTGCTCCGAGGCCAGGGTGATTCCTTCTTCCTGGCACTCTGCAGTGGTGAGCTCCCAGGAAACCCAACCAGGGAGCAAGTGTGTGACTCCATGCCACAGGCCTGCTGATTTCGATCAGATCTGGAACAGAAAGAGTTTGGTCTGAGGATTGTATCCTGTGAAACATGTATGTCCTGTTTGTTGATTTATTGCCAGAAAACTAGGGCCTATGGAAAGTATGCGTGGGTAGGAGGGATTGAGAAAAACAGAGAACATTTCCAGGTGTATGAAACTTGTTAGTCCTGGGGAAAAAAAAAAAAAGCAAAATGGGAAGGACCCATTAGCCAAAATGGGTTGTGTTTGTGTGACCATGTTTCTGGAGCGCTGACTGGCTGGTGCTTTTCTTACTTCCAGAATCCACCTCACTTAAATGGGACTGGACCATTGAAAGACACACCAAGCAGTTCCATGTCAAGTCCTAACGGGAATTCCAGTGTCAACAGGGCTAGTCCTGTTAATGCTTCAGCTTCTGTCCAAAACTGGTCAGTTAATAGGTCTTCAGTGATCCCAGAACATCCTAAGAAACAAAAAATTACAATCAGTATTCACAACAAGTTGCCTGTTCGCCAGTGTCAGTCTCAGCCTAACCTTCATAGCAATTCTTTGGAGAACGCTGCCAAGCCCGTTCCCTCTTCTACCATTACCAATTCTGCAGTACAGTCTACCTCGAACGCATCTACGATGTCAGTTTCTAGTAAAGTAACAAAACCGATCCCCCGCAGCGAATCCTGTTCCCAGCCCGTGATGAATGGCAAATCCAAGCTGAACTCCAGTGTGCTGGTCCCCTATGGCGCCGAGTCCTCTGAGGACTCTGACGAGGAGTCGAAGGGGCTGGGCAAGGAGAATGGGATTGGTACGATTGCGAGCTCCCACTCTCCCGGCCGAGATGCCGAAGATGAGGAGGCCGCTCCGCACGAGCTCCAAGAACCCATGACCCTAAACGGTGCTAATAGTGCAGACAGCGACAGTGACCCAAAAGAAAACGGCCTGCCGCCTGATGGTGCCAGCTGCCAAGGCCAGCCTGCCCTGCACTCAGAAAATCCCTTTGCTAAGGCAAACGGTCTTCCTGGAAAGGTGAGTGTGCGTCGGGGTCGTCAGCCTCGTTCGTGGCGATTCCCTTGGCTGGATTTCAGGAGGCATGGAGCTGGCGACTGAAGCTGAAATATTTTTGTTTCTATTACAGTTGATGCCTGCTCCTTTGCCGTCTCTCCCAGAAGACAAAATCTTAGAGACCTTCAAGTTTAGCAACAAACTGAAAGGCTCGACAGATGAAATGAGGTAACGCAAGAGTAAATCTGAGGCACATGTGGCAGCATAGTGGGAAATCCAGTGGCCTGCAGATGTGTCAGTATAGGAATGCTGTAGAAATTTTATAGTGAATGTTTTGAATCCTAGAATGATTTGAATTATAATGTATAGGATTTATTAACTTGCCTTTTAGAAGAGTAAAGAAAAAATGTGGCATACAGGACCGAGTCCACGGAAACTTAATGTACTCACCATGCTATTTCTCCTCCTGCGTGGCCACCTCTCTCTGGTTAGCAGTGTTACTGGCACGCCTTCAAGCGCCATCTCATTTCATCTTTCTCATGAAGAGTGATTATGGGAGGGTGTGCTGAGGGTCTAGGCCAGGGCTCTCAGTCCTGTCAAGGAGCACATACAGTCAACCGTCCATTCACAACAGGGATGCATTCTGAGAAATGCATCGTTTGGGGATGTGGTTGACATGTCAGCACCACAGTGTGTCACACAGACCGAGATGGTGTGGCCTGCTGTTCCTGGGCCACAAACCTGCACAGCCTGTGACCGCACTGGATCCTGTAGGCAGCTGTAACACAGTGGTATTTGTGTATCTACACATAGAAAACGGACAGTAAAAATACGGTATAAAAGGAAAACTGGCACACCCGTACAGGGCACTTACTATGAATGGAGCTGGCAGGACTGGAGGGTGCTGTAGGTGAGCCAGTGAGTGAGCGAGTGCTGAGTGAACGTGGAGGCCTGGGACTGTACACTGCTGTAGACTCTAGAAACTGCACACTTCGGCTACACTCAATTTGTTTAAAAAATTGATTTCTTCAATAGTAAACACACCTTTGCTTACTGTAACTTTGTTACTTTATAAACTTTTAAACTGTTTGACTCTTTTGTAATAACACTTAGCTTAAAACACAAACACTATACAGCTATACAAAAATAACTTCTTTGTTTGTTTGTTTGAGATGGAGTCTCGGAGTCTCACTCTGTCACCAGGCTGGAGCGCAGTGGTGCGATCTCAGCTCACTGCAGCCTCCGCCTCCCGGGTTCAAGCAATTCTCCTGCCTCAGCCTCCCAAGTAGCGGGGACTACAGGCATGCACCACCACGCCCAGCTACAAGAATAGGTTCTTTATATCCATATTGATAAGCTTTTTTCTACTTGTAAATTTTAAAACTTTTTTTTTTTTTTTTTCCCCTTGAGACAGAGCCTTGCTCTGTGCCCCAGGCTGGAGTGCAGTGGCGCAATCTTGGCTCACTGCAAGCTCCGCCTCCTGGGTTCACACCATTCTCCTGCCTCAGCCTCCCGAGTAGCTGGTACTACAGGCGCCCGCCACCTCGCCTGGCTAGTTTTTTGTATTTTTTAGTAGAGACGGGGTTTCACCGTGGTCTCGATCTCCTGACCTTGTGATCCGCCCACCTCGGCCTCCCAAAGTGCTGGGATTACAGGCGTGAGCCACCGCGCCTGGCCAATTTTAAAACTTTTTTGTGAAGACACAAACACACACATTAGCCCAGGGTCACGGGATCAGTGTCATCCGTATCACTGACTTCTACCTCCACATCCTGCCCTACAGGAAGGTCTCGAGGGGCAGTAACAGCCATGGAGCTGTCATCTCCTGTGACAACAGTGCCTTCTCCTGGAGACCTCCTGAAGGACCTGCCTGAGGCTGTTTTACAGTTACCTTATGTTTTGTAAGAAAAAGGAGCACACACTAAGATAATCATGAAAAGTACAGTTAGTAAATACATAAGCCAGTAACAGTCATTTTTTTTGTTTTTGTTTTTGAAATGGAGTCTGTCTCTGTCGCACAGGCTGGAGTGCAGTGGTGAGATCTCAGCTCACTGCAGCCTCCGCCTCCCGGGTTCAAGCGATTCTCCTGACTCAGCCTCCTGAGTAGCTGGAATTACAGGCATGCACGAACCCACCCAGCTAATTTTTTTTTTGTACTTTTAGTAGAGACAGGGTTTCACCATATTTTTCAGGGTGGTCTCAAACTCCTGACCTCAACTCATCCACCGGATGTAGCCTCCCAAAGTGTTGGGATTCCAGGCGTGAGCCACCGCACCCGGCCAGCAGAGTCATTTATTACCATTATCATCTATTATGTACTAATTGTATGTGCTAGACTTTCATGGGACTGGCAGTGCACTGGGTTTGTTTACACCAGCATCACCACACTTCACGAGTCATGTGTTGCCCTTGGACTGTTACAGTGATGGGAGTTTTCAGCTCTGTTGTGATTTTACAGACCTTTGTCACTAGGATGTTAGGACAGTTAGGGTGACAGGGATTTTTCAGCTCTGTTGTGATTTTACGGACCGCCGTCACGTGTGGGCCGTTGTTGACCTTATGTATGAGGTATGTGACTATACTTCGTAAAGGCCCCTCAAGGATTCTGAAATTATAGATAATAAAACCTGCCCCACAATTTTAAAAAAAATCATGTAATGTTAGTCAAGAATGTAAACGTAACGTTAGTCCAGAGTAAGAGGAAAGGAACTTGTCATGCAGTGACAGTGCTGCATGCGGAGAACCTGGCAGGACGGCCCTGTGGCGAGAGCCTGTGTGCGAGCAGTGCTCGCGTCTCTGCACAGGTCGGCTGTGAGTGACAGCTCAGAGCGCGGCCAGATGTCACCATAGTCGGTGCCAGGCGCAGGTTCGCCATCAGGAAGTCATGTTCTCATGGCGAACAACTTGTGGTGAAGTTGTGATGAAATCACAGCATGATGGACTCTAGATTTATAGACTAGGTATCTTCCTGGAAACAGTGTCGGTGAAAACCGCGCCAGTAACACAGCCGTAGTTTTTACCCGCATAGTCTTGGCACGCACTCACCTGTGGGGTTGCTCGTCGTGCTGGTGGGGCTCCCATCACTGTGGCAACCCCAGAATGGCCCCCGGCAGCTGGGAGTGCCCTCACTGAGGCCCTCTGTTAGGAGGGCTTAGGTATTAAAACGGAATGGGGTGAACCCTGCAGGCAGGGAATGCTCATTCCCAACCTAAGGATAGGCCAGCTTGGACACTCGCTCCCTCAGCCAGGGGACTGCGGCCTTTCCTAGGCCAGGTAGCATGAGGGTGAGGTAGATGGCTGTGCAGACAAGCCCAGGCCACAGCAGCTTTCATTATTAACCCTGAGGACATACTGAAAGCTCTGTGGGAATCAAAGGACAGAGTTCATTTACTACAGCAAGTTTTGCTAAAGCCTCTGATTTCTCACAATTTGTCAGTAATTGGAGGAGCTGCTGGCTTTGTTTGGAGGTAGCCGCTCTACCTTTGAGGGTTCAAGAGAAATTAGAGAAAGGGAGCCCAGAGTTAAAGGAGGAAGCCCTGTCATCACTGGAGGTTTTTCTTTAGTCTTGGTTATTAGGAAGAACTAGAGGAATTGCAGCCAGGTGCGGTGGCTCACGCCTGTAATCCCAGCACTTTGGGAGGCTGAGGTGAGAGGATCACCTGAGGTCAGGAGTTCAGGACCAGCTTGCCCAAGGTTTAGTGAAACCCCATCTCTACTAAAAAATACCAAAATTAGCAGGGCGTGGTGGCGGGCGCCTGTAATCCCAGCTACTTGGGAAGCTGGGTCAGGAGAATCGCTTGCGCCTAGGAGGTGGAGGTTGCAGAGAGCTGAGATCACGCCACTGCACTCCAGCCTGGGCAACAGAGTGGGACTCTGGCCCTCAAAAAACAAAACAAAACAATAGAGGAATTGGAAGAACTAGAGGAATATCCAGAAACAGGAAGAGCCTAGAACTGTAGGATTATTGCTTTGAAAAATAGGCTAGGAGCTGGG